GTGCGGAGCGGGGAGAAACCTTAGGACTTCTTAGGGACGTGGGGGCCAGGCCTGGCCCTCCGGGAGCTCCTGCCGACTGAACAATGAAACGTGCTCACCAGCAGCCTTCGGCAGTACCCGAACCTCCTGCTTCCGTCTTCTCCAGTCAAGACAAACGAGAAGGTCTCACTGGGGTTGGAAACAAGAGCATTACAGAGCAGAACCAAGGGCCATCGTGCAGGGGCGTCGGAGAGCCAGGAGCGTCTGGGGGGCTGCCCTACAAGGCCACCTCCTGGCCTGCTTGTCCATTCTGTGCTGGGACCTGTCACCCACAGCTCTGAGCATAGGTGGGGACAGGGACATGTAAAACGTCCCTGTGTCCCCAGAGGAAGCGTGGATGCTCTTTGTCCTGAGTACTCCAGAGCTCTGAGACGGACACCTGGGCCGGCCCACTGCCCCAACAGCAAACAGGTCCTTGCCTGAACTTCACTGCACTGCAGAGGGAGGGTCCGTGGTGTGCCTCAGTGGTCTTCAGAGGGAGGTGGCATCACCAACCAAGGGTGTGGCTGGGAGGGGGCAGGTGGGACAGCTCTGGGACCCTCTTGGGGCTGCCTCATCTGCCCCCCACTCAGGGCACTGCTGATATAAAGTGACCCAGAGGCTTGGATTGCCCTTAAAGCCCACTGTGCCGACCTCCAGGGACACAATGTCCCTCTCACACTTGGGGTGTGTAGCCGGCCCACATGCCCAGGCCCCTGGAGATGACACGCTCATCCCGACTACATGGCTCAAAGAGGGGTGCAGGCCTGTCACACCCTGAGCCCCAGCTGGGTGGGCTGCTGAAGGGCACCTCAGGGGCTCAGGGCAGGGTGGGGACCATCACACCTCTGACCTTCCCCAGATAGGAACGGCCTCAGGACTGCCTTCCTGAGGCCAAGGAAGCAGGGTGGGGGTGGGGTGCACTGTAGGGGGGGAGGGGCCAGGCACCCTACAGGGTGCTTCACCAGGTGGCTCTAAGCTTTAGGGAGGGTGGAAAGGGAACACCTCCTCCAGCCAGGCCCTGCTGGGCTGCTGTATGACAGGGCTGACTTATGGGGCTACTACCTATGCCCCCATCCTCATCCACCTGGGAGGGAGTGGCTGGGGTGTACCTGGTGAACTGCTGAACGGGAGCCCAGTCCTTGGCGTCAGGGAAGCAGAACTGTGGGATGGCCTTCAGCTGCTCCTCAGCCTCCCGCAGGAACACGGAGGACCGCTCCAGCTGCAGGAGGGGGTGAGGAGGGACGCTCAGCTCAGCGTCTCCCCAGGCCGGGGCTCCCCTCCAGCAGCCATGGTTCAGGGCTGTGGCCCCTCCCGCTGGCAGTTCCAGCCATGGTTTTTTGGGGGGCATTCAGGAGAACGACCAGGCTCTTTTGAGAGAAGCCCCCACACTTTTGATGTTGCTGTCAGGTCAGTCATGACTCTGTGACCCTACGTGGCAGGGAAGAACTGCCCAACAGGGCTGCAGGCTACCATCTGGTGGGTCTGAACTGCCAGCCTTTCGGTCAGCAGCTGAGCACGTAAACTGTGCCACCAGGGCTCCTCGCCCTGTGCCCAACGTTCCGGAGTTAAATTTCAGTCAGTACGAAGGGACAGGTACACCCCTGCCTTCCCTGGAAGGCTCAAGCGTCTGGACGGCAGTGCCTCCTCAGCTCCCTCCCGTCGGCTGCCACCCAGAGACTGGACACAGCACAGCCACCGGCTGCCAGGGATGCCGAGTGTCAGAACCAGCACCCTGCAGGGGCGGCCCATTTCAGAGGTCAGGACCAAGCCCCGGCATGTGCCTGGTGTCAGAGCCAGGAAGACGAGGCCTCGTCTCACGGGACACCCCAGGCCCCCGCATGGCACCGGCACACCGTAGCCTGCAGACATGCCGGTTCATGTCTGTAACCCTGGGGCCAAGCCGAGAGAGGCATGCGTGGAGCAGGGCCTGAGTTAACCCTGGCTGAACCAGGTCAGAACGTGCCAGGCCTCTTCAACCATGACAGCAACGATGAAGAATAACCCGTGTCCCTGGCATGCCACCCGTGGCTGTCCTGTATGCCGTTTCGCTTTGGGGGCTGGAAGTTAACGTAGGGCAAAGCCAGATCCACAGAACCTGCACACACGTGGAGACATGCAAAGGAGACCGCCTGAGGCAAGTGTGCCTGACCTGCATACGGAGCCAGGGAGACACAGTGGTAGGGTCAGCACGGGCCCGTGGGTGAGGAGCAACCCTCGCCCCCCGACAAACTCTCCAGAAAAGTGCTTTCCCTCTGAGGCACCCTAGCTGGGATCCAAGGAGGCCTAGTGGTGCAACGGTTAAGTGCTTAGCTGCTAAAGGAAGGGTTAGTGGTTTGACCCCACCAAGCAGCTCTGTGGGAGAAAGACCTAGTGACCTGCTCTCTCTGTCACTCACACACTCTCTCTCTCTCTCTCTCTCTCTCTCTCTCTCTCACACACACACACACACACACACACGCACACAGCCTCAGCAACCCCAGGGGGCAGCTCTACTCTGTCACATGGTGCACTAGGAGGGGAACGGACGCACTGGTGTCCACCGCCAGTTAGGACCATGGGCTGCAGCACTGCAATGTGTGCTCAGACGCCCGCTCCTCCCTGAGCCCAGGAGCCCACCAAGCCGGAGGCTGAGGCCCCCGAGCTGGTCCGCGCACCTTCTGAGGGAACTGCTGCGTGAGCTGCGGCACATAGGTGGCCCCCGCCTGCTTCTTCTGCAGCGACACGACCACGAAGTGCTCAAAGAGCTGCCTCTCCTGGTGCTGGAACAGGTCCCGGTCCAGGGCGGGGCACCGTGGCGCCTGCTTCAGGCGGGCCTGCACGTGAACGAGGCGCTGGCTGTGCGCTGTGGGGAGAGCGAGCCGACACTGACCCCCTTTTCCCGTGGGCAACGGCACACTGAGCAAATGAGCCCCAAACTCTTATTTGGGGCTCCTTGCGATGCTTGGAGGAGCCTGGAGCTTGGGTGCTGCTCTGCGGGGGGTAGAGCCCAGAGCCAGGGTGCTGCTCTGTCATCTGGACCTTGGCTCTTGAAGACTGGCCGTCAACCTTTGGGTGGGGTGGGACCCTGGCCCTCTGTCTCTCAGCTCATGTGACTTGGCTGGCACCCACCACCACTCCCTTCCCCCATCATCTGGTCAACGCTCCATGTGCACGGTGGATGAGATGGGGCCACTGAATGACAGCTCCCACCCCCCTCAGCAGCCCTTGCACGGCTTCCTGGGTCTCTGGGTCTGGGAACCATCACCAGCTTGCTGCAGCCCAGACTCAGGGGGTTTCAGAGCCACAGGGACCCGGTTACACAGTGACTCCAAGTCAGCCTTCAGCAAGTCCCTGCCAACCACAGGACCCTTTGGCGGGCACGGGGCCAGGCCACGGTCTCAGGCAAGCTGGGCCAGGACTGTGGGACTTCACGTATGAGGGACACATGGGGCTGCGGGCAGGCGCAAACCACCCTGGCTCGTGCAGAGGGGCAGGGCCGGGGGAGGTGTGCTTCCCACCCTGGCATGCTCGGGAAGGGTTGCCCTGAGCTCCTGGGGCCCTGCCACACCTCTGAGGTGCCCGCTCTGCTCAGGCAAGGCCCCAGAAGGGCCGTTGGGGCTGCGGCCAAGTCACCTGCAGGCACCCGCACACACCGGCTCCCCTCACCTTCCAGTTTCTCCTCGGTGTCGCTGTCAGACTCGCTGTTCTCATCTGTCACTGGACCAAAAGACACAGAGGGAAGTCGTGAGTGTGGCCGGAGTGTGAGTTCTCTGACTCAGCCCAGTCCACGTGTGGCTGCACAAGTTCAAGGGCTGCAGTTCTGGGCTGCTGCCTGTTTAACCGTAATGTAGATGGACATTTCTGCTCAACCAAGGCCGTGCCCAAGTTAACTCAGCTCTAGTTAAGGTGGCACCCATGGCAAATGGTACGTTGAAAGGTGCTGGCCCGTTCCATGCCCGGGTCAGGTCAGGGCATGCAGGCAGGGTGGGCGGCCAAGGAGGGGGCCGACACTCACCCGCCCAGGCCGACTGCCTGTCCTAGGACAGCAGAGTGAAACAGACACAGACAAGCAGCACATGTCTGCCCCGGGGGATGTGACGTCTGTGTGTGTGGGGGCCCACCTTTCCCGGAGCTGCTCTCTGCTGACTGGGACAGCCTCTTCACCCGCTTCTTCCCTCTCCGGGCCTCAAAGATGGCATTGATGCGGAGCACCAGCTGCAGACAAGGCACGAGAGAAGTGGGCATCAGCCGCCGGCCCACGCGCTGTGGGTTCCTGAGCGGCCTGTGCCTTCCAGGGCGGTGGAGGGCTGCGGACAGGCTGCCACGGCATCCTTCAGTCTTCTCCGCGAGACGGGGGCTTGTTGGTCACCAACAAGTGAGGGAAGTGCCAGTCCTACTGCACTAGGCAGATGCAGAGGTAGACAATGTCACTGGCTTGGTGACAGTGGCTCCCCAATCTGCAGAGAAGCTGTCCCTCACGTTGAGGAAGGAGCTACTGTCCCAAACACCCCCAAGAAAGGAAGACAGTGAGAGGGAACTGTTCCCAGGCAGGGCCCCTATGGTTGGAGGGAGGCTGGAGAAGGGCTTGAGCAGCCCTGGGCAGCTGGGGAAGGGGTCAGGGGACTGGGAGCTGTGACCACAGAGGAGCACTTGCAGATCACACGGGTGTGGCGGGCCAGTTGACTGTACAGACACTCTGAGGCAGAGCTCGTCACAGAAGGCCTGTCCCTACCCACAGCCTGGCCAGTGCTGGTCTGCTGGCTCAGTGTCCACTGGGTCTGCGGGAAGGGGGGCAGGAGAAGCTGGGTGCTGCACCCTCCGCCCAGGCTTCTCTTTAGCCCTCAGCAGGAGGGGTGTGTGTGTGTGTGTGTGTGTGTGACACACACACGTCTGAACACAAACAGGAGCTGGAGCTCACTGTAGGAGTGACCTTGGGTATCTTAGCCCCTCAGCAGGAGGGTGTGTGTGTGTGTGTGTGTGTGACACACACACGTCTGAACACAAACAGGAGCTGGAGCTCACTGTAGGAGTGACCTTGGGTATCTTAGCCCCTCAGCAGGAGGGTGTGTGTGTGTGTGTGTGTGTGTGTATACATGCACGTGTGTGACACACACATCTGAACACAAATAAGAGCTGAAGCTCCCTGCACGTCACCTTGGGTATCTTTCTCTTCCTCCGGCCGTTCTGTGTGTCTCCAAGGTTGAAGAAGGTGTCGTCAGGGCTGCTGGGAGTGGACGGGGGGCTGACCCTGGAAGGGGACCCAGTTCCATCCCGACTCAGCTTCCTTGTGTCCAACAACTTGAAGTTCCTCCTCTCGGAATTGTGCCGGAAAAAAACAGGAGGCTTGGACAGTGACTACCGTGAGCAGAAAGAGGAAGAGAAGCAGAAATCAGTACAAAGGGGACACGGTGGCATCAACGAGGGCAAGACCTCATCCACCTCGTCCCACGCGCTGAAGATGTGCTATCAGGAGGGACCAGCCCTCAGAGAAGGACGTCCCGCTTGGTAGAGAGGGCATCAAGAAAGGGGAAGACTCTCAATGAGACGACACACTGGCTGCAGTGATGGGCCCAAGCACGGCAACAGCTGTGAGCAGGGTGTGGGAGCACGTGGTGTTTCATCCCGTTGTACATCGGGTCTCTGAGAGTTGGAACCGACTCGATGGCACTAACAACAGCAGTGACGGGGACCCTAAGGTTGAGAAGGGGAGCTGGCTGGCATGCAAAGAGTTTATCTATGCTAACAGCCATTCGAAAACAAAGAAACCAAACCCACTGCCATCCAATGCACTCTGACTCACAGCAACCCCCACTAGGCATCCAAGGCTGTAAATCTTTACAGAAGCAGATCGCCCCATCTTCCTTTCACGGAGCAGCTGGTGGGTTTGACCTGCTGACCTTCTGATTAGCAGCCAAACGCCTCACCCAATATGCCACCAGAGCTCCTTGATAACCATTCAGTAGACACTAATTATCCAATTGTAGAAGGTTTGTGTGACAGAGGACGTGAATCCAGCCCAGTCTCTCTTTTCAGACCAGTGGGAATGGCCTGACCAGGCGCTGCCCGCCAAGATGAGCTTGCTGGGAGCCCAGGCCAGCTGTGCCGGGAAGTGCAGAGCCCACGCCTGGTTGGACCTGCCCTGATAGCTGTGTGCCCCAACACAGGCACGTCCCTCCCTAGGCCCTGGGTCTCATTTCTAAAAGCAGCCTCTGTAAACTCAAAAGGCAAGTAAAAAAAAAAGAACATAACCTGTAAGAGAGAAAAGAATCCATTTTCCCCAGCCAGTCGGCCAGCTGTCCCAGGCTGACTGCGGCCCCCGGCGCCTCCTTGTGTCGAACAGAAGCACACTCCGCAGGGTTCCAAAGGCTGAGTTTTCCAGAAACACATTGCCAGGCCTTCCTTCCACGTGTCTCTGGGTAAACTCAATCCTCCAACCTTGCAGCTGGCAGCCAAGTGTAGTAACCAGGAGGCCAGTGGTTTGAATCTAACCAGCGGCACCTCAGCAGATAGGCCTGATGACCGACTTGTGAAAAACTCCTCCTCGTTGAAAACTCTGAGGTGCACAGCTCCACTCTGACCCACGGGCCGCTGTGGGCCAGATTCGACTGCATAGCAAACGGTGCGGTTTATGGTTTCACATTTCAGTTTCCCTTCCTCCTGGGACCAGGCAGGGTCTAATTAAAGGGAAAGTCCCAAAGGGCATCTGGGATGACCTTTCTGTGGCTTGGGGTGGGGACAGAGAAGAGGCGGACGGGGAGGAACAGCTGCTGCAGGCTCCGGTCCCCCCAGACGCGGCCCAGGTGTGACTGCTGCCCCATAAATATTCCATCAGCCCCGTGGAGGACACGGAGAGGTCTGCAGCTGTCCCCGGGTGGGCTCCAACCAGACCCCTGGCCGTGGAGAGCAGAGTCTTGGCACCGTGGCGTGGATGGGGACCTGGTGCTGACCACAGAGCCCAAGGTAGCCCGCACACTTTGGTGGCCGTCAGACATGCCTGGCGTGTCACTGGGCAGTGCCCGGCCTGTCTCGGTGACACAGGCCGTGTGTGCTCTGACCCCACAGGAATGGGTTCATAAGCCTTTCTTTTCTGGTACTGGGAGGAGCACCTTGTTCTGAACGTGGAACAGCTGCGGGCGGCTGGTTTTCAGTGTTTCTCAGGGGCGAGCCCACTTCCTCCCGTGAAGGAGGGGGGCCAGGTAGGACACAGGTTGCGTGTGGGGTCTTTCCTTCTCCTCCTAAGTCAGGCTTTCCCGAGACTGGTTCACTATGTTGTTGTTAGGTGCTGTTGAGCTGACTCACAGTGACCCACGTACAACAGCATGAAACGCTGCTAGGCCCTGCACCAGCTCACAAGCCCTGCCATGTTGGGGCCCTGCCATGTTGGAGCCCTGCCATGTTGGGGTCCTGCCGTGTTGGGGCCCTGCTGTGTTGGAGCCCCGCCATGTTGGAGCCCCGCCATGTTGGGGTCCTGCCGTGTTGGGGCCCTGCCGTGTTGGGGCCCTGCCGTGTTGGGGTCCTGCCATGCTGGGGCCCTGCCATGTTGGAGCCCACTGTTGCGGCCACTGTGTCAGTCCATCTCGTGGAGGGTCTTCCTGTTTCACTGACCCTCTGCTCTACCAGCACGATGTCCTTCTCCAGGGTCTGGTCCCTCCTGCTAACTTGACCAAAGTGTGTGAAACGAAGCCTCACCTCCTCCCTCCTGAGGGGCACTGTGGCTGTGCTCCCTCCAAGAGAGATCCGGTCTTCCTTCTGACAGTCCATGGTATATTCAATATTCCTCACCACCCCAAAGTTCAAAGCTATCAGTTCTTCTGCAGTCTTCCCTGTTCACTGTCCAGCTCTCATGTGCCTAGGAGGCTACTCAAATACCGTGACTTGAGTCAGATGCACCTTAGTCCTCAAAGTGACCTCTTTGTTCTTTAACACTTTGCAGTCTTTGCAGCAGGTCTGTCCAACACAACACACTGTCTGATTTCCTGACTGCTGCTTCCATGGGCACTGACTGTGGATTCAAGTAAAATGAAATCCTTGACAGCGTCAATCTTTCCTCTGTTCAATGTTTTCTATTATGAGTGAAAAAAACAAATAAAAACCCAACCTTGTGGTCAGTGGCTGACTCGACCTCCTGGCTGCCCGGTGTGCCGTGCAGAACTGCTCCACAGGGTTTCAGAGCTGATGTTTCAGACACAGCCCGGCAGGCCTTTCTCCCAAGTTGTCTCTGGGTCGACGGGAACCTCTAACCTTTCAGGCAGCAGCTGCGTGTGTTCACTGTGTGCACGACCCAGTGACAAGGGGAAGTTGAAGGATCTCCTAAATGGTGAAGGCACCCACAGGCCAGTGAACACAGACGCACTGAAGGACAAGCAGACTGTATACTAACAATCTGCTGTCTGGACTGGTCCTGAGGACACTGCCCGCGGGAGGTGGACAACAGCAGTCAGCTGGGTTTGCCAAGTTTTGTAGCAGGTTTTTATAGCAGGTCTGTAAGATACACCCTTCGTAACAGGTTAGACCTACGCTGACTCAAGGAAAATGCAGTAAGGAGACTGCCTTTGTGAAGAGCCAGCCAAAAGGGTCTCCTTCCAGTTAGGTCTCCTTCCTGCCAGCATGTGCCGACCCCACAGAGCGCAGAGAGGAGCTGGCGTCCCTCCCTACTCTCGAGACAGATCCTGCAACGGGACTACAGTGGACACGGGCACGCTGGGTTTGGGCTTCACTTACTCAACTTTTCCAATAGCTGAGTATTGTCCAACCGATGACTACTAGGCCAACGAGAGGCACACAGACACACGAATAAAGACTCATCCTGGGGACCCTGAGGAACTAGCACCCGACGTAGGGAGATGGTTTTTAAAAGACATTAAAATGCAAAACCAGCAGTTGTCCAGTGGACTCGGACTCACAGTGACCCCCCAGCACAGGGCAGAACTGTCGTTAGGGGCCCTTGAGTCAGCTCCGACTCAACAGCGACCCGGGGCACAGGCAGAGCTGCCCCGTGGGGTTTCCAAGCTGCAAGTCAGAGTCGACTCACTGGGAAAGGCTTTTGGGGAATCTTCACGCAAGCAGACTCCACATCTCCCTCCCGCAGAGCGAGCGGTGGGTTCAAACTGGCAACCTTTCGGTCAGCAGTGAAGCATTTAACCGCTGAACCATCAAGGCTCCTTTGAGATGCATTACAGGCCTTAAATCCCAGTTCAAATCATCAGATAAGAGATGTCAGATAATTTGGGGTGAAAGGAATTATTTAGCCCACTGAGTGTTACAAGCAATCAGAGGGGAAGAAGCCCTGGGGCTCGGGCGGTCTGGGAAGCTTCCGGTTGAGAGGATGGTCCAGCAAGAACTGAGGCCAGAGGCAGGTGGAAACGATGGAGCACAGCACTGGCCAATGACAGGCTGTCTGCTGCCTGATTCCACGGCCTAAGAGCTAGGAACGGTTTGGACATTTTTAAATGGCTGACAATAAATAAGTAATACCTTGGCATACATGAAAATGATATAAAATTTAAAAAATTCAGTGCTTATCAATAACTTTTACTGAAACACAGCCACGCTCCTCCGTTTACACGTTGTCCGTGGCTGCCTCCTGCCACAGAGGCAGCATGAGTGTCGCGGAAGAGTGCATACGGCCCACAACGTCTGCAACGCTGACTCTCCGGCCCTTTACAGAGAAGGCTCGCAGACTCTGGGTGTGTGATAGCGGAGGGCAGTTGGCAGGCCTGGCTAGTGGGGGGCTGTGGTTTGTAGGAACACAGGGAGACGGGTAGTCGTGGTGGCCAGGGAGTCGTGAAGGACCCCAGCCCAGGCTGCAGAGCCCATTATGACCATGTGAACGCAGATGGATTATACACAACCCCGGGGGACTCCAGAGGATACCGTACAAGGATGTGAGCCTCCTCCCCGGTCTACGTCAACACCCACTTCCTCACTCTTAGGTGTCCTTATAGAGACAGGCTTGGACACACACAGACACACATGCCCCCTTCCATGGAAAGCCCTTCAGCGGCCACATCCTATAAACCACTGTCCTTCTCGATGCTTCCAGTCTTGTCTCCGAGTCTGTTTTTCTAACGGGACAGTATGGATGCACCACAGTTTTTTTAGCCACTTCAGGTAGGCTTCTGACCCACAAGTTCTGTTAGGGAGACACTGAGCAGCGGGGTTCCAGGAGAACTCGGGCAGGAAGACCACGCAGGGGGCAGAGGGGAACCCTCATGGGCCCGGCAGTGAGGTGGCCTGGGCTTCCAGGGCACCCAGAAGTCCAGGCTGCTTGAGCCACACGCAGGGCCCTCCCACCTCTGCACCCCATAGGCTCACCTTGGCGGGTGTGTCGGGGCTGGAAGAGGCAGGGGAACTAGGAAAGTTCAAGACACTCTTCTTGCCCAGGCAGCGGCCATGCAGCTCGATGTCCTCGTACGGGTTTTCCTTCATTGGTGGATCTGTGGTCAAAGGCAACAAGTCAGCCACCCGGGACATCAAAGGGCTAAGGGTCATGTCAAACCTTGGGGGCTTGTCTGAGGTGTGGTTTTCTGTTGTGGGACCCTGACCTTCGTCTGGGTGATCAGCTGGCTCCCCATTCTTAGCGTGGGATATTGACTGTGTTCCATGACAACATCCCACCTGGACAGGCTGCTAAGGGGGGCCTGATTGCAGGCACCTGTCCCCAGCAGCCGGGCCACTGCCGTCCAGACAGCCCACGGTGCCATCTGGGTGGAACGCAGGGAGGACGCACGTGGTAGCCAACCTCACGGTTGGAGGCTCCAGTACCCAGAGGTGCCTCCTAGGACAGACCTGGCGATCTAGTTCTGAAAAATCAGCCACGGGAAGCCCGTGGAGCACAGTTCCTCTCTGCCACACGGGGGGCTGCCAGGAGCTGGAACTTGCCCCACAGCAGCTCCCTTTCTCTCAGTGGTCCCCAGAGCTCAGCCAACTGTATGCTCCTGCTTCTGCCGTGGGGTCTGCTGGTGTCACGACCACCTGCCCTCCCATGACACACCTGGGTCTCTCTTACCAGCTGGTTTCTTTCCCTCGAGCCAGCGGAAGCCGACACTGGTTTGCCCTCAGGCCTCCCTGAGGCAATCTTCCTAAAGCAGCTTAACTCATCCACTTTAACAAGCAGGACAACCCTATCGGCCTGAGGCATGCCTCAGAAAGGAGAAATTCCCCAGAGCCAGGCTGAGGCTGCGTTTTTAGTAACGGACGTTCGTTTCATCTGCACGCGGATGCCCTGGTAGCGCCACGGTCTACGGGTCCGTGAGCGCGCAGGCCTCGTGCCCTCTTCGGTTTGGGAACCCTACAATTTGCCGAGTGTCTGTCACGAGCCAGTGCTTTACGTGCCATTCTCTCCGGTCCTTCAACCACCCTGTGAGCAGCATCCTTGGCGTACAGGTGAGAAGACAGCGTGCAGAGGCAGAGCCACCGGCTCAACGTCCCGCAGCCAGGACGTAGCAGAGGCGTGACTGCGGCTCTCAGGATTCCACGTCTCCTGCACCCCCACCACACCACCACCTGCCTGGTTGTTCATGGCAGCCTCTCCCTACCTCCACCCCATAGTCCTCATGTGTCCCCCTGGGGTTCACGCTTCACCTGCTACTTAGCCTCTCACTCATGGCAGTGGCGTATGCCTTCGAGTGTCTGGTAAGTGCTGGAGGCTCTTGCCATCTGCCTGTGTATCTTCAAGGGGTGTGTGTTTGTGTGTGTTGTGCGTGTGTGTGTGTCTCCCCAATTCAGGCAGCCCTGGCCCGGCCCCTCCTCCCAGCCACGATGCACTGGCCTCTCACCTAGGATGTCCTCATAGATGTTCTCCTCGGACAGAGTGCGTGTGAGGCCCAGCTTCGTCTGGGCGTACCAGTCCACCCTGCTGCTCTCTGAAGAGGACGGCAGCAAGTCTTCGAACTCATAGGACTTCCTGCGATGTGCAAGATGGAAGGAAGGAAACAACACCTCAGACCAGATCGGGCTGCTTCAGAGAATAAACACTGAAAACCCCACCAGTGCTGTCCCCTTCTTTTACAAACAGTTCTGTTCCCAAAGTTGACTCTGCTTGGTGTTGTCATCTTTTGTAAGAAGGTGGGAAAAGTTTGGGCGAGAAATGTGGCTTTTAATGAAGAAAACCAAAGATGCATGGAAACAATCAGTCCGAGGGGCTGGTATACCACACAACCCTCAGCCTATACGACTATGAGACCAGAAGAACTAGATGGTGCCTTGCTACCACTGTCAACCACTCAGAGGGGGATCTATGTACAAGATTCTGGATAGAGAGGGAGAACAATGTGGAACAAAACTCACAATCATTTGG